CGCGCTGCATTTTTACGCGCTGCTGAAGCGGCGCACGCGCGCTGCTGAAGCGGCGCACGCGCGCTGCATTTTAGCGCGGCTGCTGGAGCCAGCGCTGCGCGCCGCGCCAAACCAGATGATGGACGCGCGCTATAATTGTTTTTTGCGCGCGGCGCGTTCGGCGCCTGTTGGAGATGCTCTAAGTAAAGACCGTATGCTCTAAGTAAAGACCGTATGGCGAGCAGGCGGGCCGCTCTTAAAATCCTGACACGCTATGGTCGATCTACAGCATGCCCATCTCGTCTTAATTGGCTCACTGCTCATTTGACCTTTTGAATTTCGTTTTCAGGGCGGCTGTGCTGTGCTTCGCTCCATGTGACCATGTCCACAATCTTACATGTTCTGAAATCGGGGCATGAATAGACACGCACGTACGCTCTGTTTGTTGTTGAGACCATTAACTAGTATCCACGAATCGATCGGCGTTCAAATAAGGCCGCGAGTTGAGTTCAAATTCAAAACGGGGCAGTATTATAAATATTTGCGTTCACTGGATCTTGTCGTTGGCTCCACGCACGCGCGCTTGACTTTTGAACCCCGTGCCAGGCAATTGTTTGATGCATCCAAGATCTGAGGAGGAGTTGACACAAACCTAACGCCCAGCAGTCCATTTTGCAGTGGCTGGGAATTTAGTAGTACTCCTGTAGCGCTCCATTTCCTCGGACATTTCAAACTTCCGCCGAGTTTGAATTCGGAGGGCGCGATCGATCGCTTCACTGGACCGCAATCAATCAAAAGCCTACAGTTCTACTCCAGTACGCATCGGCTTCACCGGAAAATCCCCACCTGCTCGTGGTGGGCGCGACACACACACACACACACACACACACACACACACACACACACACACATATTTCATTTGAAATCGGCGACGCAAGGAAAATGAAATCAACAGAAAATTTAAAACGAATAGTGTTTCTGATCCGGATCAAAGTCTCAATTATTAGCTTGTTCCATGCACCTAGACCGATCTATATAGAGGGGAAGAAAGAGTCGGCCCGTGCATAAAAGCGCGAGGTACAAGCAAATTAACGTTAGAGAGAAAAATATTTATTTTCCCTTGTTTTTTTTTCGTTGGTAATCATTGTTTCACTCGTTGTCTGAATGGCGACAGGTTCACTAATGTTTCTCTTGACTAATCTAGCGCCTCCGATCCAGGAAATCAACGGGGAAATAAAACTGTACCGTTTTGCTCCGGTCGTACGCCGAGACTGTAGCTGCTGGTGGTTTAAGAAAAGAGGTCGACGTGGCAACCGACATGGAAACCATTTTATAATGCAGAGGCGGAAAGCTGTTTTTCTTTCATTGTCTAATAAAAGATTACTAGCATGGTCGGTTCCAAAAATAATAATACTATACGTAGACGATTAGCATGGCGATATCAAGGCTGACGGATTTGATGCTTCGATCTGATTAAGAGGCGGCACGCGGTTGTGCATGCACGGATGCCAACTTAATTTGCTTAATTTGCTCAATTAGTTGTACGTTACTGCTGCCTTCATACGCCGTTCAAGGAGGGATGCACGCTACTGCTTAATTGAGTATACGGTCTTCTAATTGTTGCTTGTGCAGCTGTATTGGAGAGTTATTGCCATCGGTGTTTGATCGGATCATTTCGTTGATGTGGGGAACAATGTATAACCAGCGATGCACATAAACTTATATGTATCATTTTGAAAATTTTGAGTTAACCCATTATTAATGTGGAAAATGTAGTAAGATCAACAGAACATATATAAGATTTGAGTTAACCCGTCGGCGGGTACATACATAAAACATAGTACTCCCTCCGTTTGGAATTACTTGTCTCGGAAATGGATGTATCTAGAACTAAAATACGTCTAGATACATCCATACCTACGACAAGTAATTCGGAACGGAGGGAGTATGTGATTCTAACCCTGGGATGTCATCTCTGCCGCCTAGCCATGACACTAAAACTACCTTACGCAAGGACGAGGTCCCTCGCGTCGGCGGAGTTCATGGGTATCCCTCGCGTTGGTGGAGTCCAGTGGTTGCCGCACCTCCAACCAGTGGCGGACCTAGAGAGTATTTTGACTGGGGGCAAATTATTTGAGTGGGGGCATATTCTTTCAAAATTCAAAGAACTTTAACATATTTTTCAAAAGACACAAGCCAATAATACTGGAGTTTCAAATTTTGAGTGGGGGCCTGGGCCCCCACTCACCTCAATGTAGGTCCGCCCCTGCCTCCAACTCCCCATGGCCCATAGGGCCATCGGATGCGAGGCTGACGGGGCGACAATGATGATAAGGGGGCTGGAAACTCTATCTCATCAGAGTTGCGTGCGTAAGAAGAGGGGAACACATCGTACAACATGCAAAGACCGTTTCATATATGACGGTAATATTGAATTGATGTTGAATACACGTATCTGCATAAGACATAAAAGTATGCATCACACAAGAATCATCGATGCTCTCCTATTAGCGGCATCCACTAGGAGAAGAAGAGAGGAGTTTGGTTGCTAGGGTTTAGAGCCGGTGGTAGGATGTCACGCTCATGTACCTTGAAACATGTTTTCACCTCGCTTTTACATAATAAAACTAAAATGGCCAAGCCAGTACGGGGTGGTGAGGAAAAATTCTTTGAGAAAGCAAATCAAAATAAAACAACACCCAAGAGTGTAGCGAGAATTCCATCACCTCAACACCGAGCAAGATAACATGAGTAGCCACACCTAACAATAGGCAACTAAGGCTACTGAACATGAACGACACCGCGCCTCCTAAGGAAACCATCGGGCACCACTATACCGCAAACATCAACCTTTCGCCGGAGAGGGCCACCTGCCCTCTTGTTCCGGGCCGCAAAGCTTCGGTCCTGCTACTGGACAGAAAAAACCGAGAGTGGTGACAACGATGACACGGGGCAAAGCTAAATCAGGTAGATCCCTCAATAGGGTGTCCCGGCTAGGCAATTGGACTGGATGGTAACACGAGGCAAGATTTTGCCTAAGTTTGGGCTCTCGCCATAGAGATAATCATCTACTACTGCTAATGTCTATTTGCGACTGGGGTGTGTGTGCAAAGTATAGTTGAATACCAAGGATTGTAATGTGTCCATTGACAAACCCCCGGCTTATATAGCTTACCGGGGGGCTTAGGTAGTCGGCTATGTAGGTGGAGATAGAGTCATCCATGGCTCTAGTTTCTTCAGCTTGTACATCAAGTCTTCGGAAGTCTTCGTATAGCGTGTCATGTGCTAGCATGGCCTATCAGGCTAGAACCGACGTGGTGAGAGAACCCTGGCCCGGGACAAATACGAGACCAACAAAGACACCCCACGCCAGATTCGAAGAAGCTTCTCGGCAGTGTTAGATCATGTTTGAAGGCGCAGACACATTGCAATAAGATGTTCTGTGAGCTCCTCGACGACGCCGTCAAGAGAGTGAGAATGCAACGTGCCGCTACTAGGGTTTTCATTCGCAAACCTAACACGAAGAGAAAACACACAACGGTGCCCCCATGAGCAAGCAACACCCATGGGCATCATCGTCGGAGCGGGAAGCTTTCGCCATTGCCGGTGCCAAAGCGCAAAGCTTTCACTCAGATCCTCGTCTGTGCCACACAAGGTTCCATGGTCTTGGAACCAACCCAAAGACAGGGATATTGCCGTCGGCACATGGCTTCGAGATCATGACTAGCGACTCGTCACCGCCGAAGCCACGGCGACGCCAGAAATCACTCGTCACGTTCTCCCCTCGACACCCACATAGCTAAGACGAGAGCCACCGCAGCTGCAACGACGCTCGCCGCAAAGCCAACCGTGTAGCCTCACATGGAGGGCCGCCGCGCCGACACCCACCAGAGCTCCCGCGCCTCTGCCACGCAAACTAAAGGCACACGATCACCCACCGGCCTGTGCGCCATAGGCGAGCTCCCCACTCTAGCTAGCATCGCACTGTTCCGCATCGTGCATTGAAGCTGGACCAGAACGCCTTTCGGCACTCGTGCACATCGACCCTTCCTTCTTCATCCCAGCTTTGTTGCATTGTGCACTCCACACCCCATAGCGTGCGCACACAGTAGCCAGCTAGCGTCCAGGTTTGGGTTTGCACGCGACGAGAGCGCCCCGACGAAGCGAGAGACCTGGCAGGTAGGCGGGGAAAGGATAGATAGAGGGGCGCGCCGACGAGCTGTGCGTGGCGCAGGACTGACTGTACCGCAGGTACGGCGTCGTGTACCGGAGCCGGACGGAGGCGCAGGCGCAAGCGCAAGCAAAGGCATCGGACCGTTGGGTGGGGCCCAGCTAGGGCGAGGCCCACCCCCACCTCGCCTCCCCTCTCCCCCCTCCCGTTCCGTGTCGCCTTCTCCAGCTGCCGCCGATTAATTATTCCTCCCCCATTAAACCACCACCTCCGTCTCCTCCCTCCCACCACCGCCTCCTCCTCTTCATCCCCTGAATCCTCTTCGTACGCCCGCCTGCAGCCCCGTCGTGCCGCCCACCAAATCACACACGCGCTCGACCTGTGGCCGTGCTGCCATTTTCTTCTGTGGATGGAGTAACCGCCGTTCCTTCCTTCCTTCCTTCCCCGGGCGCGGCGATTTCGGGGCTCGCATTTTGGCGGAGGGAGCCGGCCTCCGGCGGCGGCATTTCTCCTCGACTCCTCCGGCATTCGGCCGTGTTGTCCGGCGGCGGCTCGGGTTGGTTTGGTGGTGGACCGGTGAGCAGGGAGGCCACTGCAGCGGCAGTAGCGGGCTCCTTTTCGCGGGGCCCCTTTTCGCCGCCGCCGCGGCAGCTGGTGGTGCTGCTGGTGCGGTGGGGATGCGCCTCGCCTTTTTGCCGCCCCCGTGTGGCGTGATTCCGAAGGGTCGTGGGCGTGGGCGCGGCCGGGTTGGCTTGTGCTAGATTGGCACCGCATCTTCTGGGCGAAGGAAGGGAGGGAGGTCGGCTGGGCTGGGGGCCAACCCCCAAAAGGAAGAGGAAGGTTCCGCGCAATGCCCACCATCCGGGCTCCGGCTTCCAGGCAGACGGCCACGCTGCAGGTACCACACTACACCCTCTGCATCAATCCACTGCGATTTAACTGCACTTCTGTTCCATTGCCTTGCTTGATTATGTGATCCTGTATCTATTTGCAGGTGGCTGTCAAGTGCAGGCCACTGACCGACAACGAGAGCCGGCGCTCGCGGCACATCATACAAGTAATTGATGACAAGGTAAACAGACAGAGGCTTGGCTTGATTTGCTTGGGCTATGAACTATTAGTAGTTTGTGTCATGGGTGGTTAGAATTTTGCCATGGATGGTAATGGTATTGGTAGCATAGCAAACTAGTAGTGATAATGTTGTGCTTGTATGGTTCTCCAGAATGTAGCTGTGTTGGACCCTGATATCTCCAAGGGCTACCTGGACCTCATCCAGAACCGGACCAAGGAGAAAAGATACAGCTTCGATCACGTGTACGCGCCTGGATGCTCCAATACGGTACGCAGGCTTATGTACCTCATTAGCTTGTGCTGCACTAACCCTGAATTGCTTAGCTTGCTTTTGACAATGGGCTCATATGCTGATTACAGTAAGTGTCTTAAATCTGCACTGAAGCTTGGGAGTTCCTGGATTGGTCATGCCTTGCATTTCAGGAAATGCTACTTCAGAAAGCGAAACCGCAACCAACCCCTTTGGTTTATTAATTGCCAAAACTAGGAGTTGCTCATGCTTTGGATAGCTCTAGGTTGTAACGATGCTATTGGCATGTGCAAAATGCCAATTCAGTCTGGAGCTAAGCAAAGCATTGGCTGTATTTGTTACTGTTAGGTATGCTACCTAACGCGTATACGTCTGGTTTCAGAGAAAAGGACTCCAGTTTAGAGAACTAATTTCCAAAACCCAGGTCTCTTTTTAATCCGTGACCTGGACTGGAGCCTGGGGCATTTGTTACACTGTATCTTCACCACTTACCCTGTAAACTGTAATCAAGTGCAACTAGCTGGGCAGCTGTTTTTTATCCACGGTCTTCGTAGTTCGTCTACAGTGGCTCTCCCTGATACGGTTGCACTAGTCCGCTCTACAACCGTGTTATTAAGTTTTAACCCAGTACCACTTGTTTCTGCTCCGTGGTCACCCCTTTTTGAAAAAAAAACATTTGTTTCTTCTGTGTTAACGTTTCAAAAATCTGTCGGTTAGTTGTAGTCACTGCATTTATTTTGAGATTTTTGTGTGACACCCAGTGGGAGATCATGCGAGCACCCAATGGCTGGAAGTTATTAGATACGTAACTAGTCCTACTTATGAGCTAGTCTGAGTCCAGGCTATAAACCCCTAGCAGCTTATCCTGAGTTCCTGACAAACACGTGTTTGTATTAATAACTCTTAAAGCCCAACAGATCTGTCAACAATGTTTAAATCGCTATTAGGATTTGATTTCATATGAATACTAATTTTGATTCGTTTTGCAAGAGTCATGTAACATCGTACATCGTGTTGAAAAACTTAATTCTGTATCGCACTATCACTGGATCTTGTCAGAATCATTCTTGTAAAAAATGTTACATAAAATGTTGAAGCAATCAAAGTTCTATGGTCAGGCCATGTTACACTGGTATGTATAGATGCTGGAAATGTGTATATACCTAGTCAAATCTCTTGCCCGGTTAGATACTAAAACAAATGTGCTTTGTTTCAGAAATAGTTGTATTTGTTCAAATATATAGCTGTATTTCCTGTACAACTACAACAGCTCAATAACTTTAAATGTAGCTGACAAAGTTCCACCATTTTGTCCAAGGTCTGTAAATACTGCATAGATTTATTGTTCCTGTTAATGTGGAATTTTGTAGCCCCATTGTAATAATATGTAATAGGTTGGACTAAGAGAGCATCGCCAACAGCAGACCAAAAGCTGATTTTAGGGGGAGAGAGAAGGTTTTTGTTCACCGGAAAATCTTGTGGTTTTCCAGCAGACCAAAAATTTGAGAACCACATGAAACA